TAAATCAAACAAATTTGGAGAATCCTCTAAAGCTATTCCTTGAACATTTTGCCTGCACAATCTAAGAGAGGTAAAACTATTTAGCTCTTCATAGTAGCTCTGGGCTGCTTTTCACCAGGAGTCATATATTTGCCCAATCAGTCAGTTTGCTTAAGCTCAATCTCATACTGAGTTAATCAAAGCTATTCATTTCCCTTGAGCTCTTTCAGAGTACAACTCACTTTCACTTTTTTTTTACTGTGATTTTATGTGAGACCCAACACAGAGTGGTAGATAGCTTTGAAGAGGAACAAAAATAATTTTGTTTTCTCTTTGCCAAGTAACTCAAAATCAATCAGACTGGATACAGAACAACCATAAACACACATTTTCTTGTTGTTCCTTCCTTAGGGGTCTCATCTTGATTAAGGAAGAATCTGCAGCCTAGTCTTTTGCAGCTTTTACATATTTCACAATATTACTTTGTATTTATTGCTATCCATCTCCTCTGTTCCTGCTGAAGAAAACCCTCTAATGCTGTTAGCACTATAGTTCACAGTAGAGATTATGTCTTCATTGTAATGTGTAGCATTAATTTCACCACATATTAAGCCATAACCTTTTAATTATTCCAACATATTAGCTGTGTTCCCTCCTGTCTCAGCTTCAAGCCTGCTATCAAAGGCTGAAAATGTAATTTGTTGCTTTTTTCCGCTCAGTTCTCAGGTTAAGTGGGCTGTAAGAGATTTGCAATGAATAACGTTCTGATTTGAGTTATTTTTCAGAGTCCTATAAACTTGATTGCAGCTACCAGTGCAGTGTATAATTACCTCTCCACCAAGTGGAAACACAGACAATCAGATAGCCAACAACTTGTTGAGAAGATAGAGATGTTGATTTCAGGATCTACTAATTTTACATTGCGTGCTTAAAATCACAACGCATGGGGGTTATTAAAATCCTCTTCCAGAATTAGAAATTCTTGGACACAATCACAGTGAAGTTAATAAAAACTGAACTTGCATGGACATTGATCTAATCACCATGTTTCCATAGTTAGGAAGATGTTTTTAATGAGAAGATGTAAAGAGGAAAGAAGACGATGCAAGACCAAGACATGTTTAAGGAACTAAGGCTCAGAGTTGTTAAACTGAGTTTTGTCTATTTTTATGACAGCAGAGGAAAATGCTCTAGAAGTACTTCTGCTTTACAGTCACAGCATAGACTTGTTAGTGTGTTAGATATTATTACTGCATCATTATTTCTCAGCAAGCATTTATTGTGCTTGTTCCAAATAATTGCAGTGACACGTAAAGAATCATGAACATGTGAGCAAGAGCCTTTTTTGCTGTAAATCACATTAACACACTGTGTCTTTTTCTGACTATATCCAGATGCCTTATTGCCAATATTAAACCAGGAAAACACCTTCGACTTTTTTAGCCAGTGTGTCCTTTGTAGCTACATTTAGACGCCAATAAATGGTTCTAGACCGCATTTATATTCTGCTTATATGGAAAGCATAGATGTTTTCTCTGTCTTTTTGATGGGGGATGGGGTATATGAACATCACTGCATCTTTTAAGCAATATTACAACCTGGTATTTCCTAACAAACCTATGAAACAATATGTCGCAAAAAGTTTCTGTTCAACTTCCTTTCTGTGCCTCACGTTTGTACCTTGAGGATGACTCTGCGGCGGACCACCCTTGTGGTCACGTTCTCCTCCTCGTCAGCGACCCCTTCGACCTCACCCAGCTCATGGTCCAGCTGAGCGTGTATGTAACTGAGCACAGAGCGCACAGAGCCACTGGCAATGTGGAGGACGTTCTGGCAGCTGATCACCAAGAAAGCCAGCAGCACAAAGCTGAAGAGGAGCTCGGTCACCAGGGCCCACATCGCCCCAGTTAAACGCCCAGTACACCGACACGGTCTGCGCAAAGCGGCTTTAGGCAGGCAGCCTTCAGCTACTCCCTTTTCCCAAACTGTCCTCTCCGCTGTGAGAGAGAGCAGCTGCTGCAGTTCTTTTCCTTCTTGTTTCCGTGAAACTGGTGTCTCAGATCATTTTTGTCCTCCAGCAGCTGGGGCAGTGGGCCCTCCTGACCACGTCTCTTCCTTACCAGAACCCAGTCAAGGATCCAACCAAGAGCAGCTATGAGAAGCTTCTATTAACGCCTCTCTGACTTTCAGCCCATGTGATCTGTGGGCTTTAAATACCTCCTCTTGCTCCTGTGTAGCTCCATGTGTTGTGGTAATACACCAGCTTTAACGTCAGTTATTTTTCCTTCCTTTCTTTATGATTTTAACACCCAGTCAGGCAAAAACAACTAAGTTACTGAAACAGTAATACAGGTACCAAATGAACCCAAATAGCTTCTTTAATGGTGTTCACTTAAACATGAGGTTAACCCCAGAAACATAGTAAATCCACTTTGATATTTGTAGTCAAGCAATATCATAGTTAAGATTTGCCTTTTCTGTCTGTCATGTGTACAGCGTTAAGAGGTGGGAGCGACTTGGGGAGGGTCTCATGTAACATGAACAGGAGTCAAAGAATGCTTTCTATATTTGGCCTTTCATACTGTTAGTGGCCATCTTGGGCTCTCTATGTGAGTTTGTGGAAGTGACTTTTGTGATCAGTGTCTGTATGGTTAATTATTATTTTTTTTATACCTAAACAATAAACATAAAAGTACTTGGGTTTGATTAATATTTGCATTGCCAGAGAAAGAAATTCAGATGAGGGAGTCAGATCATGACCAATCCCTGGAGTGAATATGATGAAGATATTCAAAACGTAAAAATCAATCATTTCTAAATTTTTCTCCCTGTAGGAAATAACGTTGAGTAGCAACCGTTACACTGCATTGATCATAACTATAATTTGGTTCTTCCAAAACCAATTTGTGGAATCTCATCATGCCTGCTGGGAGGTCATTTACTTGGTCATTGGCTGTGCAGTCATTTGGTAATGTACTAAAACGTTTCACTTTTATAATTCCCGCTGACTTTGAAGAATTATGACTGAACTTCCAAGAAATTGAAAGATCAACACACTCACCTGACCTTTCAGGCGCACGTCGTCCCAGGCTCTCAGTTCTGGTACCCTGTGTGGGAATCCCAGACCCTTCTCAAAAGGCTGGGTACCTCTGAAGTGGCCCCGTAAAATCTCAGAGTGCCCCATGTCCCTCACGGGTTGAAGCAAGGCCTCCTGGGACATTAGGGATGGGTCTACATCCACAGCATTACGTACAGATGAAATCATAGTCTCCATGGCCTGCCTGGGCTTAGACTGGGTGCCCACCCAAGCCTGTGTTGGGTCAGTGACGGGCATCCACCCTGAACCGGTCTGTTCCTGCAGGTAAGAAAGGAAAGAGCCTCCTCCACTTCCGTTTCCACCATTAGCTGACCTGAAAGTAGGAGATAAGTGAGGACACTTAATGTCACAATAAGTTACAGTCCCTTTGCAGTCAACCACGTCTGAAAGGTTTGGCACTAGCATGCGATAGAAACATCCAGGATTCAGATTTTTTACTTTTTTATGAGCATTTTACTCAAATCTGGATGCATACTGAGGCTTTACCAACCTGTCTCCATTCCGATCTGCAACACAGCTGAGACCAGGTGACTCACTCAACCGAGCGTACACTCTTTGTTGTCCTGAAACAAGAGAATGTCCTTCTTCTGAGCCAGTTCCACCTAGTCGTCGTCCTCCTCCTTCAGCTCCATCACCACCCGTCGTACTCGTGACGGCTGATAACTCTGAGCTTGCCTCTGACCCCTGACCGTTGTTTAGCCCGTTGAGATTGATCCCTGCTATGGTCCCCCCAATGGAGGCTGGTGTGGTTGTGCTGAGAGAATCCACTCCCATCTCGGAGTCATCTTCTGGCAGCTCAATAGAACCACTCAGCACCACACCCCCTGCGCTGGCTGCACTGGCCTGGCTGGCCGGTCGGCCCAGACTTCCGTACGGCAGCCCCAGTAGACCTTCTGAGTCATCCGCATTGCTGCACTCCAGCGAGGAGTCCTCCACAGCTACCAAGGAGGGGCTGTTGCCAGAGGGCCAAACCTGAACATCGGACATCTCCATTAGGGTGTCTTCTTCTGTGGTGGCAATTGGTGCACAGTCCAGGCTGGACACTTCCTGCCAGTAAGGCTCAGCACCCAACGGAGAGGGCAGGCTGTACTGCATTGAGGCCGGCGAATGGAGCTCCTCCTGCGCAAGCCCATAACCTGGAGCGAGACAGAGAGAGGCACGCTGACACCCGGCCCCCCCGCCTCGCTCTCTACCTCACCCCCACAGCACTGGGACCCTGGGAGGAGGTAAGTGCCCCATGCCCAGGAGCTGGGCATCTAGGGGAGGAGAAGAGGAGGCTGAAGGGACAAATGGGAGAGGAGTGGGAAAGAAAAGAGGGGGTAGGGCCAAGACAACAGGAGCTGGAACAAAGGTGCAATTAGCTAAGAGAGCAAGGGCAGCTTTTAGAAGAAAGTTTGTCAAGCTCAATCAGCCAATGTTGACGGTGCGAGCAGTGGCAGTGACAGCAGCAGACACAGCCAGTCGGACCAACTGACTGAGACCAAGGTTCGACCCCAGCCGTGGCTGGTGCTGCTCTGCTGGCTGCCACCTGCAGGGGGACGAGACGGATTACCGATCCCTGTCCAGCAGGGACACAAACTCCCATTCTGAAACACACATATCCGCCCACTCAGTGATACATGCATTCAAATTCTCTCAGGTACAGGCAAGTTGTTTTTTGTAGTCAGGCTGGAAAACATGCAATCAGCAGGCAATCCCATTTTCTCATCAGACTTAACTTTACACACACATGTCCACTAGGGATGGATGGCTGTCAGTTTTCACAGCTATTACAACATTATTACCACTCAAGAAATTCAAAAATAGAAATCATTTATCACGTTTTGAAACGAACCCAGGGACATATGACTGCTTAACAAACACAACAACAAAGCAAGCAGGAAGATTTGTCAGCCTCTGAGGAATCGTCTGAAATGGGGTTAGACTTTGAATTTTATTGAAGTACTAGGACTTCCTTTTTTAAGGTGGTCTCTTTTTGTGCTAAACATGCTGAAAGGAAGTAAAAGTCCACCAAAAACTTGTCTACCAAATGTACTGATGATTTGTGATGTCAGCTATTTGGCTGTTTGCCTAAGGTAACTGTATGACTCACAACTTTTGATTTATCAGTTGAGTAAAGAGCTACATGAATGTTTTTCAATGAGCCGGCATTGCACTTAATCATCTGTAGCTCAAAATCCCAAACTGCTCAAATCATGGTTAAATGATTCTGCACCACACATTCTGCAAACCATAACTTAAGATTCATAAAACCCTTCAGAAAAACCACGACTTTGTGAAATGCATTCAGAAAATTTGAACAATTATTTTCATTTGAAAAACCTACACCAGTGGTGTCTGACCCTCAAAGATGTGCCACCAATTAGCTTGAATGCTAAGTAAGTTAACTTGATTGTTAATAGAGTTTTTAAAAATTATTAGCTATGAGCAGGTTGGGAAGCCAGTTCACGTTAAAGCAGTTAAATACTGTCATACAGTCTTGCTTTACCTCTTTCTGCCATAATGTATCATAACACTGTGAAAATAATATCTTTACTCAAAGTTATCACACCATTAAAATCTCAAACCAACACATTCCCAACATCATCACACAGTATTTTCTCTCTGATATAGGTGTTCATGTCCATGCATTCAAAATGCCGCTACGCTAGTATTGACGTAAAAACACCAAACAGTCAGATTTGCAAAAGTCACATGGTTGCTGCCTAAAGCAATAGTTTAAATGGATTTTCCAAAATCAGCCAATAAAACATGTTAATGTGATGTGGACTCAGGTCACTCCTACATACTGTGTTTGAATTATCTTAATATGTTTTGTCCAATAAAGCTTGACATTGTAGTGACTAATTTGCAGTAAAGATTTTTTTTTTACACATAAAATACAAATAGCAGCCCACGGAAGAGCAAATGACTCTTCCTTGGAAATTAGTTGAAGATTAATGTAATATTTTTGATGAAGTATTAGTGATATAGTTGTAGATTGCATGATTTATTGCTGAAGATTAAACTAAGCATAGAGGGAACCAAGTGAGGTGGTGCAGGCTGTACTGTAAGTACAGAAAAAGTAAGACTGTATCTGTATGAAGCACAGTAAAGGACTCGCTCTACAGAGCACAGGGTGTAACGTGAGTCATAGTCCGCTGCAGACTACTGCTGAGGCTGCACAAGATATCTGAGACACCAAGAGGCAAAAAGACCCCTTGTCCTACTTTCTCTTTTACCCTCCCAGCTGCAGTCCAATTAAGTGTCACAGACAGTGTAATAAAACACTTTTGTCTTTGCTTTTTAAACATCTGATTATAAGCTATCTGAGGATCTTCACCTCAGATTAATACAAATGCAGTTTTGATTTAAATGATTGGGTACATGGATCGCTCCTGTTTCTAGCAGAGCTATAAATAAAGACTGGGACATTTCCATTATATTGGTAGATGTTTTGTAGCTAAATGTGAAATATCTGCACCTTCATCATAAAGCTCCTGCAGAGCTTAACACAGTGACCTTCTGTCTTTTATTAAGTTTGGAAATGATCACCTTCCTTTACAGGCCGGGCATAAACAGCGAGATTTTCCCAAACATAATGTTTTGACTCCTGTGAATTCTCTCACACCCCAGTCGAAGGAGCAAATTTAAACTTCAGAAAAACATAAAACAAAGCTGAGATTCTCCAGTGGTCAAGTATATATATGGGTTTAATTTTCTATATTCAGAGGGACTGGGCATCATTATTTAAAGAACGGATTGTCATACACTTGCATGCATACAGCCAGGCTGGAGAGAACAGGGAAGCCAGGAATACAATCCGCAGAGAAAGACTTGATTGTACGCCAAGGACAAGATTACACTTCTAGATCTTCAGCTAATGGCGGTCAGCTGCTCTTTTCATGTTCTTTAATTGTCTATAAAATCATTAAATCTATCTAAAAAGATGATTTAGAATGAATGAATAAAGATTTATTTAAAAATGGTGTTTATAATATCCAATTTTAAATTTAGCTGGAATCTACTGATCACAGGCAGCTTTTGAAATCTTGATCATGCCCGATCATGATTTCAATAATTAAAACTGGCTGCATTTTGATGCTAAGATAAATATGTCCAATGTGAAACTAAGAGTCCGGGAGGATAAAAATAAAATTGAAAAACATATGTGTATACATATGTAAGCATATGCTTATATTGTGCTTTCTGCCATAATCGTTACAAGTAATTAAAAACAGCTTTTATGAATTTAGGAAAATAACACATTTTGAAATTTGTACTACCACTAACTTCATGTTCTCTCTGTTCTTCCGTGTACAGTGACCAGTGCTTGTGTTTAGAGTGTTTTTCCTAAACAAAATAGATCATTGAAGGATCTATTACTGCCATTACCTTTGTGTGCTTCCTTTTATTATGTCCCATAGAAAGTACTCTTGACTCACTGCATTCACTACCAAGTAAATTACTCTAGTGTTATCAACTGGATTTCATTGATTAGATAACTTTTTAACCGAAAACACTGAATTAATTTGACTGTTTATTATTATAATTTGACGGAGTGGGTCTGTATGTAGCTGACGTGAACCTAACTCGGCTTGTACTGTAAAGAATTATTATGAGATGAATCATGTCAGAAGTGCATTAACTTCTTTGTAATGAGCATTAACAGAATTTGTTGTCATCATTTTGTGCTTTAGACATAAACAGGATCGACTGCATGTAAATGAATGAACCCTAGTGCGTGGGCTCCATAAAGAAGCTGTTTTACATAATGTTAGAACATTTTAAGGATTCCTCCCTTTTTTTGTGTCAGTAGATGAGACATTTGGGAACTAGATTAACATGATTTACAACTTCTGACGCAAATACTTGGAGCAAACTTGTCTTGAAGATAAAATATCAGCTTTGTATTCGAAAGCTGTGTTTATAGCATTAGTTTGGAAAGCATAAAAATGTTCTTTATGTCAGCATCTGACACCAGATGTGTTCTGATTTTAGCTCTACCAAACCTTTGCTTGTCACTAAAGTAGATACTAAAGACTTTTTTTGGGGGGGGGACATACAAAAATTAGTAAACGGGGAGGCATTGTCTGAGCTCCTGACTGAAACATAAAAGTAAAGTATCAGAAGTGAAAGTTATATATATAAAAAAAAAACAACATGTAAAGAAAAGTGACTCTTTTTGCCTGTTCACACATGGGCACACATGTACAAACAGCAGTAGTTTCTAAATTAAAGCACATAAAAACACTCACGCAGATACACCCGCACAGACTGATTTGATAGCTCACATTTAACAAAATACACACAGAGAAAGGAGGACTAACTGACAAATAGCATCAAAGAGATGAAAACAATTTACATTAAACTCAATGCACACAAAGCAATAATAACACTCATACAAGAACAAAGCAGACACAAGTCAAAGTTGACAAAAAAGGACTGCCCCCTCACCCCCCCACTTAAGACTGATTATTGAGGAGGAACAAGACAGGCTGCAGAGTCATTCTCAGTAAAAATAGCATGCCATGCAAAGAAACGTCTTTTGGTCGAGCTGCTTCAATGCTGTGATCTCAGACAAGTTAGTGGTAGTGCTGCCCATCCTCCCAGTGCATCCATGCAAACACAGAGGGAGATGAGCAATGAACGTCTGGTGCACATGCAGTCATGCAGGAGGGTAAAGGAGAAAGGGCAGGGAAAAGAGGGGAAAGGACAGAGTGGGGGAAAAGAGAGAGGGAGCAAGAGAGAAAGAGGAGTATAAACAAGAGTGATGAACACAGACAGAAACAGTGTGACAAGAGCGGAAGAGAGAAAGAAAAAGAGGATCACCTCCCCCTCCCAGTGGGTGCTGAAAAAACAGTTTGTGTGAGGGATATTTATCACAGAGGGGACACTTATAAAGGTGGGGCTTTCGAGAGGTAAAATAAGGGGAAAGTAAATGCACCAGTCGCAAAAAAAGAGAGAGAAAAAAAAGCTTAAGATGTGGGTCAGAGGTCAACATGAGGTCGGCATGAGGTCAGAGTTTGGAGAGAAGTGAGGAGGAGGAAGAGTAGGGCGGCTAGGCTGCAGATGACATGTCCAGAGAAACACAGAGAGGACAAGATTCACAGGGAATGAAAACACGGCTCCCAAAAAGACATTCAGTGCACCAACATTAACCCTGGACAGACTCAAACTACTGAACATGCAACCACAGGCAGAAAGAATTTAGAGACAGAAAAAAAAGCCTACAGGATAAGTTTTAGATGTGGAAAAGATCTGCAAAGACGTTTTGATTTAACAGAGGAAAATTCTTTGTGGCTTATTTGAAATACAGCTCTTTTTAAAAGCATTGCTGATTTGAGCTGATATGCGGCACTGGTGTAGTTTGAGATGACTGATATGATTCTTACAATGCTTGAAAAAATATGGGGCAGTCACTGTGTTTCATAAAGTCCGCTGTATTATACGACTGGAACTTCTCCACATTTTGTCATATGACCACCACAAACTGAAATGTATTTCATCGGGATTTTTTGCGTTTGACCAGCACATTATTGTGAAGTGGAAGGAAAATAACCCATGATGTGGACCGAAGCAGGCGGGTCTGGGAGAAAACTGTGGAAATGTTTATGTTAAATGGTAAATATAGTTCAGTAATAAGACAATGTGCCAAGCTTTGAAAATCTCACAGAACAGAGGTCAAGCAATTATATCCGTCAGTGTGGAGAACCGCTTAACAGGACAGCTATTATAAATGACGTTATATATGGACGACACAAAGTTGCTGTTGACAGTAATTTATAACTTTACCACAACCAAGATAGGGGACACAGCAAATATGTGGAGGAACATACTTTTGTTGAATGAAAAAGAAATATAGCCATTTGCCTTAACATTAAAATCTCGGTGTGGCAGAAAATCATTACTGTTGCTCTAACATAACCAAAAATACAATAATGTTCTTGGCTGCAATATGGCAAAGTGCAAAAAAGTTCAAGAATAATGCCTCTGACATCAATGTGTTTTTACTTAACTTCAGACTGTAAACGTCTTGCTAAATCCTCTCGGACTCAACATCCCTTTTTTGAAGAAAAAAAAATGGCTGCCTTTATTACCTCATTTCAGTACATTAAAAGATGCTAACTATAACAAGTCATAATTTAAAAGCATCTGTAATACTATTTTCTTCATCTCTTTCACCATCATGGTCACATTGGGTTGCATAGTTACATCGCTGATTATTGCTCCATTTTTCATATGCAGGACTGGCTGCCTCATTGTCTGCACTCTGGGACAAAGAGGAGCTCACAGCAGCCCAGATGTGAAAATGAAATAAATCAGACACAGGGTATGCATGAATGAAGGAAACCATGAGGAAAAGGAGAAAATGTATGAGAAGGTGTTACTAAAGCAATTGTCATGTTAAATTAAAGTTCATTTACCACAAATCTGATTGTTTGGATGACGTGTCTAATAAATTTATTTTGAAGATATATTCTTAACTTTTTCATAGCCTTTTAAGCCGAACTTAACCCTCCAGCGGTCTGAAGAGACAGGACCATTTAGACCTCACAAGTTTTTCATTTTGTGCGCGGACCGGCTGGGCTGCACGGACCCATTGTGTGCTTTTACGAGATATTTTTTTTTGTGTGTGTGTGTGGTTCTAGAAATTGACAGTCTGACGGGACAACCCCCTGCTGTCTGACCAGGACATTTCCACACTCCTCCTGCGACAAGGTTAAATAGGAGAGGAGGATAATTTCTTAAAGCCTTTGTTAAACAATAAACTGAAAATCTAACACTTTCATAAATTAAAATAGAAAAATCCTGCAATACTAATGCATCAACATCTCCCTATAGTAAATTAAAACTAGTTAAGGATAATAAGATAATAAGAAAAGGCGAAAAAAAAAACCCACTTATTTGTAAATTACAGGAAACATTTGCGACTTGAATGGAAAAGGAGCTCTCCTGCCTTTAATCTTACTCATCTTAGTTAGATGTTTGAGATATATTTCAAATCTAAAGAAAGATTAAGGGAGAACAGAAATTGCCATTTTGATATGACAACCCCATCAGTAATACAGCAGCATTTCAGAAAACCCTCTCCAAACAAGAAGAAAACACCTAGTTTAGTTTAAATGACTAAGTTGCCTCCTCAGTATTCAGTCAAGTTATCCAGAGTCCTGCTAATGACCTGATTATTTCACTCAGGTGTGTAGAAGCAGACACATCTTAAACTTGCAGGATACCGGTGCAGACTAGGCAAGAGTACGACCTTAAAAATCAGCCAATCGGAAATCCTCCTCTGCAAGAATTGCAGAATGATACATGGAATGTCTTGGAATATCAGAAAAAAACATCAGGTAGAAAGGATTAACTTAATATTTGCTGTGTATCAAAAAAAGAAAAGTTGAATGTGTCTAAATGCTGAAATTCAGAAAGCTCAAGAAAGCAGAAAGTATTTGTCGTTGAATGGGTTCATGCCATAAGTGTAAAGCATTTCGATCATAAGCTCCAGAACTTGTATTAACTGCATTCGTATTAGCAAAATGAAGATACTTTATCAGTAAGATAAATAAGTAGATCACAGCTCCATCAAAAAATATTTTGCAATACTGTCAGTAACCTATAAGCATCCACCATTTAATCCTCATTCTAACAATGAGCCATAGAGCTTAAAATTGATAAGCGAAGGGCTTACAGGGATGTAGGAGTGTCCTGAGTCCCATTGCATTTAGCTGAGGTAAAATTCTGAGAAAGGTCACGTTTGTGGGAGTGCCCCCACAGTGGGAAACAAAAAGACATAAGAAGAACAGAGAGGATTCAAAAGGAATCCAATACCACTTGTCCTTCAAGGGTTTTTTGGGTAAAGAGGAAGAACAGATGTACTGAAAAGTACATAAGTGCTTTTAAAAGTATTAACACAACATAGAATTTTGTTAAAGACAATAAACCAAGAGTTTTCTATCTATTTTTACAGAATTTCAATGTGTTTTGTTATGAAACTAGAGACTATCTGAACTGAAGCACATATTTCGCTTCTTGTCCTGCACACATGCAATATATTCCAGTCTATTTGTGGATTTTTTCTGTGAAACTTTACTCTAAATTCTTTCTGGAAAATCTGCATAATCTGGGATTTTTCTGTATCTGAGATGCTGTTGGCTGATGTTTGCAAAGCAGGCAATCCCCTCAGATACATTCCTTGGCATCAATTGCCTACAAGAGGAGAGATAAGGGACACCGTGGACGTTAGTTTCCTGTTCTGTGGAGGCACCAAGACAGTTTTCATGTAATAATGCATATTAAAGTATATGTGATTTTTGAATTTTTAAAAATAGGGAGTAAAACGGGTCTCAAGTAATCACGTTTAGCTATTTGCAACTGGTTGTTGCGAATTTTGGGGATCCACTATAAAACTCTCTATCAACTTCTAGGACTTAAACCTGATGCTTCTTTGGGTGTTTATCAGGAAAATAGAGAAGTCAACAAAACTCTCAAACTTTCAGCGCCAATGAATGAATATTAGAGAAGCAGCTCTGGGTCAGGGCATATGGCGCAGTAGGACCGGGCTGCACTGTTGAACATTGGCAGAAAACTTACCATTGGTCATACCAGGGGAGAGATGGTCTCTGTCGTTGTGCCGCCGTCTGTTGAGGTCACGGGAGCCTTGTCTCATAGGCTGGGGCGGCTGACCCTCCAACATGTTGATGATGTCCATACGGTCAATGTTCTTCAGGGCGGTGTATAAACTCTCCACTGCATGGAAAACACACAAAGTCACACTAAAGAAGGCAAGGCAAACAAGTTCTCTTAATGGTGCACAAAGAAAGGAAAGAAATATCTGTCCCTATCACCTAAAATGAAACAAAATTCTGGAAAAAAGAAAAACCTACATAAATGTAATATTAATCGTGTATCGGCAAAACATAACTCAAAGTCTGGAGCTCCAGCAAGGACTAAGGTTTGGAGATTGACCAGGTCACTGTGCCGAACTATTCCTTAGACAGTCCTTTGTTGACATTCAGTGTTGATATGAGTTATTGACACATTGACCATCCTTGACTCATCTTAATTGTTAATTAGCAAAGAAAAAGTCTTTGTCCAAGATTCAAGCTTTTTTTTAAGACAATGGTTCCTGCTGACTTAAGATCTTCAACAATCTGTCTCTCTGCTGGTTTACATTACATTTAAAATCACCCAAATTGTGACTTTATTGCCAGTTACATTAATTTATCAAGTGCTAAAACATGCAAATCAATTTTTATCTTCAATGTTATAGTGTTTTGTCTGAACTTTTGGTCTTTGTTTTTACTGCCCACTCTAAAAATAAATTACTGTAAAAATTAAACACTCGCCATATAATAGTCCAAGGGTTCGTCAGGCAGATACTGAGAGGCAGCAATGCAGCATGTGGTTGCATTGCTGTCTCATATCTCGTTGACTCACTTTTGGCCCTTTTGCCTTCACGAGTTGCCCACAAGTTGAGCAGCACGGAGCTCTGTTCGAGGAGGGAGTTTGGATTCTCAACTCGAATCCTGTTGATGTCATCTACACTCAGCTGTAGCTCACGTGCTAACTCTGTTCAGAAAAAGAGAAAACATAGACGTTGATCTCTGAATCGTGTTTGAGGCCAGCATCCCACCGGTACATGGAGAAGAACGATCTCTCTGTGTGACAATGAGAGAGGGAAACAACACAGAAGTTTGTATAGTTTGATACCAGGTTGTACCCTGTCAGCTGTGCCAGCCATGCTTGTTACACATTAGATAAACACAGATGGTAAATGTAAAAAGCAGCTTCAGCATACTCTCAGTGTTTACTCACCAGCCCAGCTCAGACCCAACTGCTCTGCGATCACTGCCATCTTCAGCTCCGTTCTCTCCATTGCACTCATTGATGCTGCAGAAAGCAGGACCAGAAACAAGCGGTCACATGAAACCACCATGCTGAGTCTTGTTTTTAATGTCACCAAGACATCAAACAAGTAAATGTAATAATTAATCCAGTAGTGAGTCTCTTACCCATAGCGGGTTCATTTAGGGCGCTGTATCTTTCTCTCAAAGCCAACGGGGTCAGAGTTCGCCTCCTATCTTCACTACCAATAATCTAAGTGGTAAGTAAAAACTTTTAAAACCAAAACTCAGGAAAACTATTGTCATTGAGCTCAAAATTACTCACACCCCTTCCAAGTGTAGATTTCAATCTTTTAGTAATCATTTGTCTGACAGAAAGCAATAATTTACTCAATCTTTAAAATGATAGAAAATATGTGCAGAGTGTTAAAAGTTAAGGTGATGACCCTCAAAGGCTTGGAGCTCATCACCAAAATAAATAATCAAAATACCAGTGGAAAACAGGGAGAAAGGTTTCATTCCTGTAACGCATGTAAAGATTTTTATGTGATTATTTTGAAGGACAAAAAACATGTTTAGATACGCTATTTAAAAAAATATGTATATATAAATAAGAATACCTATTCTCATACGAGATTCCAGATTCTTGTTAACTTTGGGGAAGCACCAGTTTCATTTCTTAGAAGAAACAATCTTTTTTATTGGATGAAAAATACTTTTAAATCTAAATTTGCCCAGGGTATGGGTAATTTTGGACTTAAGTGTAGATTGTATCTTGTGTTTTATCCACTAAATTATCACCTTGATACAAGGAGGCATAGTGATGTTAAGGTTGCAGAGTACTTGTTGGCTGTCCTCATATTTAGTGGACTTCCGTAGGAAAGATAAAAATCCAGTAGGCTCTTTACTGCTGTCTCGCACCTGCACAGATAAAGGGAAATTAGCAGAGAAACACTAGAGATGATGTATTAACAGCGGGTAGTAAAGCATAGTTGATTCTTGTGTTGACTGGCTGCTAAAGGTTTATTTGAACCATTATTTTTCTGTGGTGAGGGTGTTTATACGTAATTTGGTGTAAACTGATTTTATATGAAGGTTTTCAATGGCTGCAACTTTACTGATGTGAATAGTGCATGCAAGTAAGATATTGGAGCTTAAATAGAATACTGTAAAAGCATTCATACCCCTTCTTGAACTTCATATATTTTGTCATATCATTACCACAACTTAAACCCCCTTAACTGTCTCCAGGGACAACGGCGTCCATGGAGACCAACAAACAGTTGTCCTATCAGCTCAATCTTCTACCTAAGATGTGGGTCATAGCAGTTCCTCCATAATCACCAAGGCCCTCTTGACTTTCTCTTTTCTTCAGCTGTAAGACTCTTTATTGGTTGCTGTTGTGCTATAATTGCCATTTCTACTTTTGGACGTTGAACATTGCCATGTGAGGCGTTTGAAGTTGGCAACATTTTTTGTAATTTTACCCAGCTTTAAACTTTTCTATAGGTTTATCCTTGACTTGTTCTTCATGATGCTGTTTGTGAAATTAAACAGAGGTGGAGACTGTTTACTAATGAGGTGACTTCTGTATGCACTTGATTGCACAAAATTTGATTTGAGGTAAAAGAAACAAACATTCACTCTTGCTTAATAACCCAATAAAAGAAGAGGTTTGTGGTTGCAACATGACAGGATGTTTAAGAGATATGAATATTTTTGCAATGCATAACGTAATTGTGACCTCACCTCCAGTTTATGATGCTGTAATTTGAATCTTCAACTCATCTTTAAAAAAATAGCTTAAGTGCATCATTAAAAGCCTGCAATCAATATGATAATCATGGCCATGATGAGTGGATGTGACCTTGCTACTGGCACCAGGAAACTGCAGAAAATCAAATGACACCTTGACAGAGACTGGAAGCCTGTTGTCCCTGAAAGCCTGGAAACTAAAGCAGCGGGGCTGCTGCGTGGCCTTCCTCACTGGCACCAGATTTCCTGAACACTCCAGGTGAAGTGGCATTCCCTCCATCACCTGCAACACATGCGCTATGATTAATTATGTGTTTCTTAACGACGTCAACAAGGAATGAGTCCCAGGTGTCTGTCTTGTCCTTCCTGACACTTAACTGACCTCTATGTCTCGACTGCGGGCGACTTCAGTAAAGTTCTCGTGCTGCTCCAGAGTTTTATCCATCTTATCGTCTGTCATGCAGTAGCATCGCAGACGGCCCTCGCGCAGCTCGTTCATCTTTGCAAACACTACAAACTTGGCCATGTAGGGTACAGCTGATAGCTCTTTATAGAGCAGGTTGGCAAAGGAGACGGCCTCAGCTGTCCGAGGACAGTCTGCCAGCCAGAACCTGTCAGCGAACAATGACAAAGGATCACAATGTTGAAAGCAAATCCAATAAGAAAAGTGGCTTCCAGGTGTTTCATTTTCAAGAGGATCATACTCTTCTGTTTATATTTGATAAAGTATGCAGCTGAACTTACCGTGCAGAAACATTAGTGGTAAAGCTGGCACAGTCACTGGCGTAGAGGAGCTTGGTGGTGCCAGTAATATCTTCCCATTGGGCCGGGGCTGTTCCACCTGACAGTCACACAGCGTGGTAAATAGGAAACTCAGTGATCAGAGGTAGGAGGAGGGATGTCTAATGATAATCAACATCTTTTACGCCAGTGACCATGTTGAATGAAAGTTTTCCTTTTTATTATAGCAATCTGGTCCCATGAACACAGACACCTCACAGTTTGGGCATGCAGTACCTATAACAGAGCAGAGCAGACGCAGACTGGTGGTGTCGCCTTCGCCTGAGTCACGGGGACTCTCCCTCCAGGACGGAGGCAGGGGGATGCGCAGGCCGATGGGGCGATGAAACTTGCGCCGCCGAGGCTCCACCGTGACTACAGGGCTAAAGTTTGCCTGGTTACCCAGCAGTTTTGCAACCAGCTCATCTGGAACTGGCTGGGCCTGAGGTGGTAAACGACAGGGGCGGGGAGACGCACCAGGGCCACAGGTTGGAAAATGTGTGAGAAAATAGTGATTTTATGAAATGAATTAAATTAAAAAGGGATCACAGAAGAGGAAGATCATGGATGGATGACAAAAAAAAAAAAATCGGGGATGATGAAACGTGAAGAACAGGAGAGAAAAATGAAAATGCACTTATTAAAAATAGCTTATTTTTTCAGGGACAAATAAAAGTGACACAAACTGGATGTATGCGTATAAAAGTGTTTTTTATTGTAACAGTGGGTGTTAACAGGAAGCTTTTACAATCATTAATACAAAAAGGATATCAACAATTAAGGCAACTTGGTTTCTCAGACCTAAGTTCTCTACAATAGCATCTTAGTTAAATAAATGGAGACTAAATATATTGAAATGATTCAAATTGTGTTTTTTTTGTGTTTTTTTTTATTATAAAAAAGCTAATTTCACAATCTTTTTTGTTTGTATCCTGTTACATTCAGTATCTTAAGTATGAGGTTACAAAATAACCATAATGTCTGTAAGGCATATTTATCTTTACGTCGAGTGAAATGTGTAGAAATATGTTGATCCAAAAAACACAGTAGTCAGTTTATTTTATTTTTACTGGTTGTTTTGGTCTTTTCAAGTTTCTGCCAGATGGTAAAAACCTACTGAGGAATAAAAAAATTTGTTAACTTAATAATCAAACCTGTTTGGCAGCTTTAGGCTTTAGAAAACAGAAAAAAAAATCATATTGTCCTAATATATTGTCAAATGAACAGCAACATATGTTACAATTACCTTTTTCACCATTATTTATATAATTGGTTTTTCAGGTCATAGTTTCGGAGGAAGCATCCAGTTACTGCTAAAGACTAAATCTGTCAGTTATGTCAATTTGAAATAGATTGTAAAGCTACTTTCAAATCATTTTGAGTCCATCAAATCAAAACTTATTTGCAGAGGAGAACATCACTTATTCTGCATCACAGTGCACTTTGAAGAGTACTTAATTAGTACCTATGCAATAAAATAAATGAAGATGTATCTCAGGGTTTTCTAGATGCTTATTGTTAAAGGTCTAAGGACGATTAAACAAAATAAGAAAATACTGTTTGTTTAGAAGAAATGTTAAAAGTTCCTTAAACTCGGCTGGCAGTAAAGCTTAAACTTATACAACTTAATCTGAGTTTCTGGAACAAACTATGCAAAGAACAAAACAGAAATAGAAAGATTTTGCCATGACGATTTTTGAAAACCAATACCAGCACAAACAGAAGGTATTGACTGTCAAACAAGTTGGCAGAGGGTGATGAAACGGACTCGGGTTGCAGCCACAAGAATTGTTCATTTGAAAAGGAACTCTGCAGCCAAAATGTCAAGAGAGTCAAAGCTTGGATTAAACTGTGTCATGCAACATAACTAGGAGGTAAACACAGCAATGAATCTACAAGGGAATGGGTGAAAAAGAAAAGAAGAAACATGCTGCAATGCAATTTTTAACACCTGAATCCCAAATGGATGAACATTTCACACGAGTACTGTCAGATAAGTCAGATCTACTACAACTGTAGATACATTTTCAAAATAAAAACAAAGAAAATATTCAGTCAATGATAAATGCACTGAAATAGGACTAAGATTTACAGCTAAATGTTTAACAAGGTCTAATTCCAAACTTTAAATTTAATCTTAGATTTATATAAGTTAATTCTGTCTATTTACCTTAGAAATAATATCCAGAACAAACAAGCAATGAGGGCAAAGTAAAAGTGAAGGCCTCAATAGAGAAAACAATTGGATTTTGCTATTGTCTGAAGTTCTTTTAGAAAAAAAAATATTTTCTGTTGTGTTTAATTGATATCAAAAGTTTGGCTATTAAGAAAACTGTTGAGCAAGAAAACTGGGTTAAAAACCTTTTTGTGCAGCAAAACACTTCTTTTCTTTTCAGATGAAAAGATTCAAGCACATTTGAAACTGAAAAATACATACAAAGTCTTTCCAGTCAACAAAAAAAGCGGACAGATATAAATCCTTAGGCATCTCCAATGAATGCGTTAAATATTTGATATACAGAGTTTGTAGGTGACATAAATACATTAGTAGTAGAATAAAATAAAGACAATAAAATCTCAACACTAAAAAGGCAGTCCAGGGTTGCAGTAAAGGTGACAGGTGCATGCAAAATGAAAAATGAAAGAAAGGCAAAAAGGTCCTCTAGGATTCTTAAAAGCAACATAACAAGCTTGGCACATGTGACGTGACTTCATGATGAATCAAAGTAAATTCAGCATGCTTTCTTTCAGGGATTAACCACTCCGCTTCTCCTCTCCTTCCTCCTCATCGTCCCATCTCACCTGCAGTCCCAGGCGGACTCTTTTTGTGACTGCCGTCTCTGGGAACGTGGCCTGCACCATCGGCACTAGTTTACTGGTAAGCGAACCTCCCTCTGGACCAATCAGGTCACTCTCTTGTTGGACTCGTGACACAACGGCGAAGTAAAGAGGGAAGTCAGTAGAGATGATGCGGCGGATTCGCTTCTTGCTGAGTTCCTCTTGACTTTCCAGTTCTGTGGTGAAGAAGCAAGGGTTATGTTTCTGAAAACGTAAAACCAACTGGAGAGTATCTGGCTCTCAGTTTAAAATGAACTGTGATGGACTTCAGCTCACCCTCATCCATCCCATTCAGGATGGTTTCCAGCACCTCGTCACCGTAGCGGTTGCGGTGCTCCTTCCAGACGGATCCGTTCTCGCTCCTGAGCACAACAAGCTCTCGGTCTCCACGACCCAGAGCAGCAAAGTGGGGAATCTCCACAATCACCGGTCTGCCATGCAAACGGAAGTGGATCAGAATCTATAGACATAAAGCGACTAAACACATAAAAGAGCTGAGGCACATAGAGCCATTTCATAACACAATCAAGTAACTATGTTCCCTTCAGTTGTTATAAAAATACTGCATATACCAAACATGACTTAAAAGAAATTTGACTTTGCGATTTAATGTGAGCTTTGAAATTGGGCCTCTGTCTCTTTAAGAAGCTCCTGCTCATTCCAGCACACAGGCATAAAGTTCAAACATGTTGATTTTACAAAATACCCCCCCTTTCAAGAGAATAGCAGCACTGTGGTCAGCTCACCCCAGAAACTGCATCCCAGCTGGACCCAGGGAAATGATCCTGCTGGCCAGCCCCTCTCCCTCCACCAGAGGAGGGGGGCTGGTCAGCTTCTGCGGCTTCACCAGGCGGCAGGTAATGCGAGTGGGTGCCGCACACGTCCGTGGAGGTATGATGACACGCAGACCATTATGCCTGCTGCCTCGCATTGAACCGCCTCGAGCATCCACCATAAAACTGACCAGGAATCTGTTGCAGGGAAGAAAAAAAAAGAAACAATGACAGGATGAAAAAGCAGAAGAACAGAGGTCGGGGGATAAAAAGTGTTGGCTTCTGCTGTGACTGTCCTGACCCTGTGTGGATGGGACTGGCGACTGGGCTGACGTTGTCAGATGTTTCAGTTGCTGGACTGCTGGGAATCAGTGAGTCCTCGTCGTACTCTTTGGGCAGTGGAAGTGGTGTGTGTTGCTAAATGACACGGAAAACAGAAATCGTTTGTGAATATCTGCTTTGCATAATGCCATACAAAACCAAATGTGTAGCTTTTCTACATCATTCCTAGCAGGAATCATTGACGAAGTGACTTAAATGAATGCATCTGTAACCAACTTCAGTGTTAGATTTACTTACCTTTCAGTCACATGCAAGAAATAACAATGAGGTCTGATTAAACTTACTTGTCAGAAGCAAGTTTGTGCAAACAAGATAACCTTTCAGAAAGTATTGAACATAGTTTTCATCAATCCAGTATTTCTGTGAAAAAACTGTGGTTTTGTATTGGTTTAATGTAAATAGCAATTACTGATACGACTCTAAGAAATTAAATAGATTCTCTACTAAAATCAAAGACCAGAGATATTTGCTAAAAGAAGTCTATAGAAAAAACACCTTCTGCTAAAAGATGGTGGTAAATTTGTCTCAGCTTCTTTTAAATACTTTGAACTGTATTGATGCTGAAAATGTTCCATATAAGTAAAATTATCTTTACCTTCTTTTACAAAATGAGTGAGGTTTGTTTATCCATAAATACCTTATGTGGAACATTTTACAATTCAGATAGTGCTTTTAAATCTGTCTGTGAAATCTGTATTGAAATTGTTGATTTATAATTTCACCACCTTTCACCATCTGCAACATCTCTTAATGACTTATAAATGCCATTCTGCATTCTGAAGTTTTTAGCACTACCTTGTCAGATCAGGGACTGGAGTTCTCCATTCATTAAAACATTACTAGAAATGGCTGCAAAAATCTTTTTGAAGAGAGGGAATAACTCCATTTACATAAAACCTGTCAACTTTTAAAATTTGAAAACCTTCTGATTTCCTAAATAGAAATGAAGACAATAAAAGGCACTACTACCAAACTGCATGTCCTTGTTAAGGACGCCTTAGATATAAAGTGAGTCTCAGTCGGAAAACTTCAGATTTGACCACATGACTGAAGAAAAAAAAAATCCCTGTAACTATGATGTGATATTTTCAGTTTGTTGCATTTCTGACTCTGGCCTTTGCAGTACCTGATCCATTTCATGTTCTGGCAGATTTACGTTCTCCGGGGAGACACGGGGAATCCTGGGAATGGCCGGTGAGTAATTCCTGTTGTGAGAAAGGAGGAAAAAAGAAGTGAGACTAAAAACACTTCTTCACATCTCTGCTCCTCCCAAGCAATCATCCCGGGGTTTATTTATGTCTGTGGAGCACCCGTCATTCCCCATCCTGCTATTGGCTCATGACTACTGGCTTTGGCTCGCTACCCTGCTCCCCCTCCCAGCCCCCCTTACGCTGTGCCCAGCCCTCTCTCGTACTCCAGTGATTTCTTGGGGGAGAGGAAATCGTCATCATGGTCTTTCATGTCATCCATCTTCATGTACCTGGCCCCTTCTGTCCCCAAGAGCTCCTCTCCTTCAGAGAACAACATGCCAAAGAGAGCGAACAGATCGTGGTCAGGTTGGTGACACAGCACAGGAGAAAGAGAGAAAGAAGACAAGACTGTTAACGAGCTGTTAGAGGGGTTAGACAGCATGACACCCAAAATGATGGCTGTGATATTTAGAGATTAGACTGATGACATGAGACACTAATGACTGTATTTGTTTTCACACCGAACTTGTATCGCTGCTTCCACAGAAGAAAACGAAGACGTTCAACAAATAGATGAGGTTAAGAGCAACACTACAAATCACAGTTTTGATCTCAGCTTGCTGAGACATTTAAAGCAAAAAACTCCTGGATATGATGACAAAATCACAGAGGATGGCTCAAAAATGAGTTTTAGACACACAAAGGACTTCTTGAAATGCAACTGAAAACTCTTAAGACAAAAATGTTGTGCCCTATGTAAACTATAGATGCTGATTTACCTCATTGGGATCTTAGTAATCCACAGCACAAACAGCATCTCTGAGTACAACACATGAATCTGAATAACATCTTGTGAGGCGATTTGGTGGTTTGATTATTTACCCCAGAACAGAGGAGGAAAAAAAGCAATCGATAACTAGCAGCAAAAGAAAAAGAAAGCTTCCCTGTGTCGGATTTTTACATGAGTGCGTGTCTGCACTGTCCGCAGCATCACAAGTCAGCTCAAGTCCTCTACGTCCTCTGCTAAAATTTGATCATATGCTAGAAAGCAGGCGCTTCATAATATATGCTGCTACCACTTTACCATTCTGGATTTGTATCTTTAAGACTGCAAAAGAGCTACTTTCTATATTTAGAGACAATCTGATCATTGAACTATCAGGGGACTAAAAATATCAAATCACAATATGCCGAGACATTTCGGTCAACAGCATTGTAAAATCAAACTACCATCCATGATTTTTAGCCACTACATGGAAACACAAATACAATCTTAACTGTGAATAGACCAAAAACAGATCCCTTCTAAACTGATATACATGTTGTCTTTTTCATTTAAAAAAATAAAAAAATAAAAGTAAAGGCATCGATTTGACGCTGTGCTTCTGCACACCTGATCATGTTCAGTGAATAGTGCCTCAGTTTTGATCTCTCTCTCTATGTATGTCCGTCTCCAAATAGGACAATCAAACCAAGTCCAGCAAGGGATGTCCTGATCCCAGCTCAGGTGTCAGGTCCTGATCAAGACACTTTTAAATCGACCAATATTTCGTCTGCGTAAACTCACCGTCCTCCTTGTTGTTGGTTCTTTGTCATGTTTGTCAGCTTCAAGCATTGGCTTCCAGTGAGCTACCCAGCCACTGTTTGAATGGCAAAGTTTGATTTCTACTCTAGTTTTGTCGGCGCAATTTGCAAAACTGTATTTATAGGCTGTGCTCGTGTAACATTGCTTTGTGGATCTAAATAATCCGGGTATCCCCTAACACTGAAAAGCTGTTGTCACACCATTCTCTCACATTTTGCTGAACAAAAAAGTGTTTTGACATCCTTTAACTGTGTTACGCAAGTATTTTTGTTCACAGTGTTTTACTGCACCAGAGGAGAGTTAATATATATATCAGTGCAGATAGAGTTTCTGCATGAAATAAATAAATTTTATTATGGGTCATTGCTGTGATATTTGAGTAGCACCTGCATTACTTCAGTGGTGGTGGTATGTGGAGTAAATGTGGATTCTTAGAGTTGTGTCACTAATGCTGCTTCTGACTAAAACAATCTGTGTCGACTTGCTATGTTCAGTAAACGTCATTCTGTGTGGGAGAGAAAATAAACTTGCCAACACTGTACAACACTGTACAGTGTTGTACAGTGTACAAAACAGCACAGCAGTGCTGTTTTGGAAGCACTGCTCCCAAAACAGACAACACTAATCCACTATGAATGGCTACATGTCACAGAGCAGGTATCTGTGATGTTTACAAAACAATGGGGGGGCAAAAAAGTGACACCTGGAGAGTTAGAGAATGAGGGTGTTACTGAAGGGGCGTAGAGAGGTCACAGACATGGGTGCCATGGGTGCATGCCAATGAGAAACCAGAGCTACCACAGTGAGCACCACTACAGACGGACTGAGAGAGAAAGGAAGGCGAACAAAGATGGCGAGAGCTTGAAATGGAGCCACACAGAACTTTACGAAACACTCTGAATGCTGCAAAACAAACAAAAGAAAAGAAGTAGACGCTCATACCTAACGTTAGCTGTGCAATTCCTAAAAAGAGCAAAGGGCAAAAAGAGTTGGAAAAAAAAAAGATATTCTTATATTTCAAACACCCTGAGTTCCCGCTGTTTTAAGGTGATGTTTTAATGTTGTACCTTCATCCTCAGACACATCTAATATCTCATCCACAGTTTCCGGAAAACTCATGCGATGCTTCTCTGTTGTTGTCTGCGGAGCACAGAAAGAAACCAGAGTCAGATATGACAGCAATACAGAAAAAAGCTCTGTGGAATTGCAAGTGTTACTGCACAACTGTAACACTGGAAAAACATTGACACTTCTAAACTCCACACCATAGAAACAGTCTCCTCAGTGACGAGCTTCAGGACATCGATGACAGAGATGTATCCCAGCCTTTTCGCAATGGCCAGCGCTGACATGCCATGCTGTAGAAAAAAAAAAAAAGAAGATGATTACATCAGAGAAGAAAAACGAATTAGCAAGAAGAAAGCAGTTTGCACTTAAACTCACAGTCGTGGTCTCATTGGGTTGGGCACCATGTTTTAGCAATAAAGTCACAATGTCTGTGTGTCCTTGCTGCGCTGCCTGATGCAGAGGAGTGTAGCCAAGCTGCAAGGGAGACAAAAGGTTCAATAACGTATACAATGCATATTTATCTCTTTTTAATGCAGATCTAACATCTAATCAGACGGCTGTGACTAAGAAACAACTACGCAGCCCCTTTCAACACTCAGGGTAGTTTAGTTCTAAGATCCAACCCTGAATTTTCAGGCGTCGATGGTGAAAAAACTCACCCTTGTTTTGCTGTTAACATTGGCCTGCTGCTGCAAGAGGAACTTCACCATCTTGATGTTACCGTAATGACACGCTACGTGCAGAGGGGTGTAGCCCATCTGTCAAGAGGAAAAAACCCATTGAAAACTCTGTATGATGTAGTCACTCTGAGGAATTCACTAAATCAAGAGTGCAGTTGAATAATCAGAGTCTCATTCCTGTTAGAGGTTGGGACTGCATGTCTGCTGTAAGCTAACAGAGCCATGTGGCCACAGCTTGCATGACACAGTGAAAACACAAATCTGTCTATATTTGTGTGTGCATGGCTTGCTAAAACATATTTTGGGCAGAGGGCATTTTATTCCACCTTCAGCAAAAGATCCACCTAAATGGGATGTTTCAGCTTTTTACCTGTATGTCAATGGTGCTTCATTGTTCACTAGACAGCTGACAGTGTTGGGCAGAGCTCACACTCTTGTCTTGAAAGTTTAAAAGGCAGGGAACCAATTTTACCTGTCTCTTTATTTTCCAGACAAATTAACTCAGATGTTCCGATTTTACTCAAGAAATGTAATACTTTTCATATAAATGATTAAACGTGTCTCCAAATTGTGGTTGTTCAAACACATCCCAAAGCAAAGACATTTATTTATAGCCCTTACATCATAGATTTACTATTCTCTAAGGTCCATGGAGGATTTGTCTCTCTGGGAGAGTTTTGCTTAGTATTAGCAAAAGCAAATATTGGCTCTTTGGACTCTAAGAGCTGCTGACCCCTGTCGTAAGAAACAGAAATGAAGGAGTCTCACCCGTGTGGCAGCGTAGACCGAAGCTCCCTGCTTCACTAGGATATCAGCAATGCCTACATGTCCCTCCTGTGCCACCAGGTGCAACGGTGTTAATCCACTCTGAATTCAAGAATAAAAACACAAATTCATCAAATTTAAAGCATCGCAACAAAATCCCAACCTTTCGCTTTCACACTTTATCCGTCTCCTCTTGCCTTGTTGCCCAGGTTGACGTTGGCCTGTTTGGAGATGAGCAGGGAAACCATGTCAGGCCTTCCCTCCTGCGAGGCGAGGTGGAGCGGAGTGACGCCCTGCAGTGACTCAGCGTTGGCTGAAGCTCCGTGCTGCAGCAGGCTGTTGGCCACCTCCACCTGGTTCTGCTTGGATGCAATGTGGAGGGCAGTGTAGCCATTCTGGACAGCAGAAAGGAGGCGTTTTTTTTTTTGTTTTTTTAAGGAATATGTGTAGTTGATAATCATTTTACTGTGTCACTTAAGACCCATTTTGTGTTACCCTGGCAGCGCTATGTGGTGACCCTCCTTTGCTGACAAGCAAGTTAACAACATCCAGGTTGTTGTGATGTACAGCAACATGCAGCGGGGTCAGACCATTCTGTTAAAACAAGATCAGGGATTTACCGAAGGGAACGTTTTATTCATCCAGGTTCCTGGAACTCTTTGGTTCCCCTCACCTTTCCAGCAGCGTTAGGGTTGGCTCCTCGCTCAAGCAGCAGCTCTGCCACGTCCACCTTCCCGTACTTGGAGGCTACATGCAGCGGAGTGAAGCCTTTCTACAAAAGCACAAAAAAGGTGAGCGGACACAGCATTAGATTAAGTTCACAATCCCAGCTAAAACCGGCTATATAACAAAACGTCACCAGAATATTTTCTGTTACTTTGGTCATTTTGGTCTGTTGGGCCTCCATGTCTAGCAGGATGCGCACTGTTTGAACGTGACCTTCCCGGGCAGCGATGTGCAGAGGCGTGTGTCCAGCTGTGGTGGTGGAGTTGGGGTTAGCTTTGTGGTCAAGCAGAAGCTTCACCAGCTCTTTGTGACCCATCCGAGCAGCACAGTGCAGAGGCGTTTGATCGTCCTGTTGAGGGAGAGGCAAGCAATCAGGAAGAATAGCATGCTTACTAAAAACCTTTACATATTCCACTCTTAACGGATCTGACTTTGTGTAGTTGAACAAAATGTGGTAGGCGAGGTTAGAATAATAATAAGATCTGCTTCAGTGTATCAGTTCTGATAAACCGAATTCAAAATGAATCAGTCTTTGTAACGAAACCTTGCATATTGTTTATTTTAATCTACCTTTGCCTTGGCATCCACTGGAGCTGAGTTCTCCAGTAAAAACTCTGCCACTTCAAAGTGACCCGCCCGACATGCCATATGGAGCGGAGTCTCCACTTTCTGTTTGCAGAAACAAACAACAACAACAAAAAAAACGTATTAGATTCAACACCAGCATTTCAAACATGAGAGCCAGCTCTTTAAGCTGGTTGTAAAATAACTTTAAGCTACACACCACGTTAGAGGCGCTAGGAGAAGCTCCCTTCTGGAGGAGGATCTTCACAATGTTGAGATGACCCATAAAGGATGCAACATGTAAGGGGGTTAAGCCTGACTGTTTTAAAACAGAAACAGGATAAAAGAGCATTAAAATACAAACTTATGAAAACATTTAAACACTTTGGGATAAATAATCTTGAATTCTTACTTCAGTCACAGCTTCTAGTGATGCTGACTGTTTGAGCAGGAGGTCCATCACACGCATGTGGTTCTTTTTGCAGGCGATGTGCAGAGGAGTGAAGCCGTTCTGTAACAACAACAACAACACAGTTACTTATTATTATTGGACAGCAGCTTCGCTCCTGTAGAGACAGAAGCTTTTGGATTCTGTACAGTAAAAGCAGCTGAAGCTCAGCGAGAGGAGTGTCTGTAAACATCAGTTTGAAATTTGTGGATTTATTCCTTGAACGTGAATTATCCATTCTAGAAAATGAAAATGATTTGTGCTGTTGTCCCAATCAAAGGTCAACTTCCCTTTTGTGTGTTTTTTTTTGTTGTTGTTGTTGTTGTTTTACAACTGCCCAGCAATTGTCCTGGATAACTCTGGTCAAATTCCCTGTCCGCGTAGAAGAACGTCATCACCACAGCATTATGCTGGCGTCACTGTTTGTCACCATAGAGATAGAGACTCATAATGGTTCCTACACACACTCCCACCTGAGCTTTGAATCTCCACAGCTCCTCCAGTGTTACCATAAAGTATTCTGGCTCCTTCTCTAATTGATGCTCTCTTTGCCCGGTCAGCTTAGTAGTACGACATGTCTGCCTCATGCTGTTCAATCTCTACTGTTCTCCAACAAACATAAGGCCTTCACAGAACATCTGGATTTATTCAGAGATTAAATTACACACAGATGGGCTCTATTTACCGTAGAGGTTAAAGTCTGAAGCCGAATATTTTGATAGTATTTTATTCAGATCAGAGTAAACAAGTGGCACACTGTCCAGATTTTTCTTTCCAGTTTCGTTTGCATCTGATCTGATCTATGGTACAAATCTCAAAGCGAGAACATTTCAAGGGTTGTGGATATTTTTTAAAATGCACTGATACAGTTCATCACTTCAGTGGAATTTAAAAGAATGATATATCTCTAACCAGAGCCCTCGAGTTGGGTTTCGCTCCTTTGTCCAGCAGTACTTTGGCCATGCGGTGGTGCCCGCAGTGTGCTGCCACATGCAGCGGAGTGAGGTGGTCCAGTGTTACATCATCAATCTCTGCGTTGTATTGCAGGAGCTGCTTGACACAGTCCATGTGGTCCCCTTGTGCTGCCATGTGGATTGGTGACAGGCCATTCTGAAAAAAACAACAACAAAAAAACCAGGTTTACTTTTTTATTCATATGTGAAAATAAGGCTTAACAATATTGTTTCTTCTTACCTTTGTCTTCGCCTGGATTGGAGCCCCGTGGTCCAGCAGGATCTCTATAATTCTGACATGCCCGTTTCTGGCAGCGCAATGCAAAGGCGTCAACTCATCCTGAAAACAATGGATTGTTAATGATTTAGTTGGTGATTTGCAGAATTAGAATATGGGGGTTTAAAATCGGGCAGCTTTTGGTCTTACCTTGGTCTTGGCATCAATCTGGGCCCCCCGGTCCAGCAGGAGTCGGACCATGATCACATTCCCTCGTCTGGAAGCAATGTGCAGAGGGGTGATGCCGTTCTGCAGAAACACAGAGACGAGCTCAAACCAACACCGAGAACAAAAATTAGAACAAATATAAGGATCCCTTTCCTTGTGTTTGGTGATTCTTACTTTTGGAGTGAAGTTTACGTTTGCTCCTCGATTAAGCAGCAGTTGTGCCACGTTCAAGTTTTCATAATGTGCAGCAATGTGGAGGGGTGTGAATCCAGTCTGCAACATGCATTTCAACATTACCACTTCTGCATTTTATGGGAAGAAAAACCACACGGAAAGACAGCAAACACTCCTTTGGCCACAAACCTTGCTGAGGACGTCGGGGTTAGGGTCATTCTGCAAAAGCACCGCAGCTGTGCGCGTATCGTCATTTCGTGCTGCAATGTGCAGTGCAGGGAGCCGGACCTTTCCCTTGGTGCCATAGTTGATGAGCAGAGCTACGACATTCTCATGCCCCTGCTGAAGAGCCACGGCGAGCGGCGTGAATCCATCCTGCAGCACAAGGGAGAGAGTCAGGAGGGGGCTGACTCATGAAGCCAAAAATGGACCGATGCAAGAAGAGAGGCTCATGAAAACAAAGCAGAATGGAAAACACAGAGAGTGTGGATCAGCAAAGGGTGGAACCCTTTAAAAGTCGTCTCTCTTTCTCTCTCGGTTCTTTGGTACCTCTGTTGGAATGCTCTGATTGGCTCCGTTCTCCAGGAGAAACTTCACAACCTCTAGATGGTTTTCTTGTGCTGCCATGTAGAGTGGAGTGAAACCTTTCTGTCTCAGAAAGACACACGATACACACACACACGCACACACACACACACACGCACATGTGCGCGCACACACATACAAGACCACAAACAGCAAAGCCAAATCACAGATGCACACACCAGGATGCACACAAAGAGGAAACACAAACACACAGAAATATCAGACAAACAGAGATGAATTTTAACAGATGGATTTGCAGTAGTTGCTACAGCGGCTAAATTCACATAGTGAGGACTGGGAAGCAGCCTCGGTGAATCATGGGACGTCTGTAGTGAGAGCAGCTCTCACCTGGGACTGAGCGTTGACATTGGCCCCATAGTTTACCAGCTCTGTGACCACCTGCTCCTGCCCTGCCAGAGCTGCAATGTGGAGGGCGGTGTTCCCTTTCTGCTCAAACACAAGCAAATATGGCACAATTACCTACAAGTGAGGTGCAGAGATCTGTACTTCTTTTGCAGAGCTTTGATATTTTATTTTTTATTTTTTGAAACAAGACAAATTCATATTTAAACAAGACAATGTTAAACCATACGCAACTAAAGCAATAATTTCTAAACGTTCAACATGCAAGGTTTGAATAACTGAAAATTTTTCTTCACATCTGATAAAGTCCTTATGTCATCCTTTTTTGTATTTTGCCAAAACACTAAAATGAAATTAATTTTGTTGAACATAAAACTTGGTGATGTTTTGATGCACTCAGTCCCAGTTATGAACAGTTTTCCACTGAATTATTTTTGTTGTGACATAGTCATCTTGTTTTGTTTTTTTTATGTTTTGTTTTAGAGCATCTGAACTGCAGATAAAATCTCTGTGCTACAACAAAATTGAGGAGATTCAAAAAGTTCAAAAATAATATCAGCTGAATTCATCAGAAAATTAGAGCAGGAGTCGTCTGATTATTCAGGAAGCTCATGTGAGTAAATCACACACAGAATAGAATAGAACCAACATACAAGAAAAAAAGCAAAGAAAGGTGATGGTTGGTTGTTTGAGCTTGTGCCTGATTATGCATATTCCTTAATATTTTAGATGGAAGTTGAATTAGAGAGTGAAAATGAGCCAATTGCTTGTTGCAGTCTGTTATGATGACCCAGTAAGCACAAAAGGATTCAATGAGGACTGACTTAACCAGATCTTTTGCAAAGCCGTGGGACAGGTCAGATTACTCCTGTACAGGTGAAGCACATCACATATGTTTCTTTCGGTGGGGGGGTTTTCTCTTTATTTAAAACATGAACGGTAGCGCAGACTACCTCGTGAGCACTGTTCTAACCCCAGCTGGTGCGTTTCTCCCTTTGCATGATACCTCACCTTTGTGGTGGTCTCCAGTGTGATTCCGTTGTGAAGCAACTCCAGCACCATTTTGACGTGGCCTTCTTTGGAGGCCAGATGCAGCCCGTTGAGCCCATTCTGAGGGAGAGAGAAGAGCAGACCTGATACTGGAGAGTCCTACACCAACCATGCGCACACGGTGGGAACACAGAAGCACACGAGCGCCATGCCAGCTGAAATGGGTGGTTCGAAGTCACAGTTACGTCGTCACTCACCAAACACACCAAGCGTATTACTGAACAGCATGCAATATGCCAGACTCGGAGAGGTTATCATCAAAAACGATGTCTACAGGAATGAAAATCAAGACGAGGACTTCTTTTCATTCGCTTAGTGGCGGTTATAGGAGGAGGGAAGAGAGGGGAGGGGATGGCAGGCCGCTGGTCTCATGGCTGGGAAGAATACGAGCCGTGTGGGATAGGTCTAACCTCACACAGCCTACCTTCAGCCGCACAGGACATGTGAGGTTGGACCTTTCCCACACCACTGATATTATTCCTCTGAGTGGGGAGACCACAGCACACCATCACTCTACTGGATACAGAGGAGAGAGAAGGAACAGAAAGCAAAGATGAAGGGTAAAAAAAGAAGCAGAAACAATAAACTGAGGTGAGCATGAGGACCAAGAGGAGAGAGTGGGGAGAAAACACGGTGAAGGAGTGAGGATGTGTGCTGGTGATAAGAGTAGGAGGCGTCTACTCAGACCAGAAAACAACCCCAACGTATAAACGAACTTCACAATGGAGGCAAAGTGATAATCTGCAGGGGTTTTTTTTTCAGAAATATATTTGTATGAATGTAAACCTTGCTGCATATCAAACCAAAATCAGAAAACATGATCCACATTTTATATTTTATCTGATTTTGACTTAGTTTTCTATAAATAAAAAACTTCAATTGCAATACTGTAAAACTATGAGAATTATCACTTCAACTCAGGTACAATTTACACCAAACAAAACAACAAGGTGGCTGAGAAGAACACATTTAAATCAAATATCACTCAAGAATATTGGAATCAAAAACAGTCTGTCATCGGACCGTTTTTAAAAAAAAAAAATCTATCTGTTGTGTTAATCAATGAGCTCTCTACGAATCCCACACAGAATTGAGTCACTTTCCATTTATATTTTTGTATTCATCTGGAATCTGTTGAGAATCTTTTGTAATTGCCGTCTTGGACCAAAGGTTGAAGAGAGCAAAATTAAACTGGGGACAGGCAAAGTTTTTAGGAGCCCGGGGGCATCTGTAATGCTGCCTCTTCCTGGACACTCAGGGAACAACTGTCAGAATAAAGGAGGCAGGATGGAGGAGATGTAGCAATGGGAATCCTTTGCACCATTTATTAACACACTGAACAGTAGCTTTCCCCTTAAAGAACCGATTATCAGATTAACAGAGCATGCACGAGGTGAGCAAACAGGCACGGTGCTCAGTCCATGCATGCTGAGCAATTAAAACACACACAGAAATACAAATACAGAAGATATAAGTGCAAGTAATGAATCATAAAAAAAGCCTGATCTGCCTGTTTTTATAACTTATATAAAAATTACTGAATGCAACAAAATAACACAGGGAATTGTCTCATTGTTAAATGTGTGTTTTTACTGCAGAAGCATTTATGGGGACTAAAATAGTTTTCTTGGGCCATTTTTTTTTACACCCATCATTTCTACTACAGGAAATAACACCACAAAAAGGTCCTGGGAGGGAGAAGAAGGTCCTATAAGCAGATGAGCCACAAGTGAGGTTTTGAGGTGCGAAAGAGCTAAACATTTGAACACAAATATTCCCAACTTTTTCATTCATTAGTCTCCCAATTTCAATGACTCCACCGTCCATATTGTCTTTAAACTGCATAGCAAAGTTGTTAGTATTTTGGTTTGCAAACACACCATTAAAACTCAGTTTATTCATGTCGAACGTTGCAGGGTTTCACAGAGATTATATTCAAATACACAGACGGTACAGTCAGCTGTGTGGAGACAGAGTGGAAGCTAATGGAACGGGATATTTAAGGATTTAAACTGATATCAATGGAATAATTTATAGTGTTTAGTTTAGATACAGATTATTATTATTATTATTATTATTATTATTATTATGTATTGTTAACAGATGATCAGTTCAGTTTGCTGGAGACTAAATTAATCTGGGGAATGTTATCTCACTCTCTCTCTCTCGCTCTCTCACCTGATTGGCTGTATTGATATCAATGCCATTTTTTATATGTTCCAAGGCCTTGTCCAGGTTGCCAGATCGAGCCGCTCGGAGAAAACTGTTGCCAGCATCTGCCTGAAGGAGTAGAAAAAAAGGATGGGAAAAACAGGAGGGAACAATGGGTTTCAGAGAAAGTGAGAGACACGTAAAGGAAAAGAAAGGGAAATAGAAAAGGAGAGTGACTGGTTAATATTTTTAAACAAAACAACAATTAAAACACCAGGGATCATACAAAGTCGACACTTGTCCGCCAATTTTTCCCTCATTTCTTTCCTCCCTCAATCAATTTTTGATTGCAGGTTGAAAATCTGCTTCTGCGGTTTGGAGTCCGAAGGTCTGACAAGCATCTGACTGAGGAATTGCAGCAGAAACTTCAAATATTCCCTAGATATTATCAGCCACTCACATAATGAGGAAATGTAACGTAAATACAACGACGATGCTTTAAAAGAAAGAGAGAGGGGCAGAGCGATGAGGGGTCAGTGGGTCCCGGCTCAGGGCCCGGCACATTGCACGCCTAGTGTTTGTGTCTGTGTTTTGTCTGTGTCTGAGGGCTTCGTGCCTCTCCCAGGCAGGCAGGAGTGCCGCTGGAACGGGATCACTCAAGCGGCTCTAGGGGAGGTGGGGGGGGACAGAACGAGAGGAGAGAAAGAACGAGAAGCAGTTCTGGGAGTAACTGCATCAAAACCTGGAGGTTTTCCTTTCATTCACATAATATCCACTCTCACTGTGTCTCCCCGCGTCACTCCATCCAACCAGATTTCTCAAAATGCTAGACAGGAAGAGGCTGCAGTTGCATGTTTGCACATATATGCAAATAATGGATTCATTCACTGTGCAGACCTCTCAAAATGCTGCAAAACACGGTGCTTTATGCTTTGTTGCATACTGTTGTGACAGTGCTGTTGGTTGAAAGAGAAAAAGACAGCGAGAGAGAGGCGGGGGGCTTTGGTGAAAAAACAGAAAGGATCCGCATGCCAGGAGTAGAGGCATAGCAACAAATGACACAACCCACCCTCAGCGGGACACCAGTCACACAAAACTGTGCAAAGAGAGAGATCACTTTAAAAATAAGGGACTCTGTTGGCAAGAAAACTGAAAAGTTCCAGAAGTTGCTTCCAGCTGATTGTGGCACCAAAACAACATCTGACAAGTCTGTGTTCATGTTGAAATTTACACAGTGGCAAAGCATGAACTCACGAGATGAACTGCAAATCATGTTCAGACTTCTCTGTGCAAAGTCCTAAGGTTTTAAGAGAGTTATTTGTCTAACGTAGTTTTTTAAATTTCTTTGCAAACAACCCAGAAGCACACCCATGAACGACATGAACATCTTGTTTTGATCCAACAAAAAAATCCACATCTGAATTAACTTTTGAGAGTTTTGATATTCACGTTTACCACCAGGGATGGATGTGTGATAACTCTGAGTAAAAATACCACAGCTTGGTAAAATAACATTATAACTTTTAATTAATCAGATTGTAATCAGTTTTTCAACATTTTGATTTTGATTGGACTTTGCAAAAATGTGGGCACCTAGTATAGCCTACATAAACTTTTTTCCTCTTTCTAGAGTAACACAGCTATAACGACTTGATATCAGCTGCCTGGATACACAGGCTGCAGAGCAGACAAAGCATCCTCTGAACCAACAGGCAGCTCACAGCTTGCCAACGGTAGAGTTAAAACAGTACAATGCTGTCTGGGAAACATTTCCAAATAGTTGAGATTGTTGATCTTTGAAAGTGTGGGAGCCTCGTTTCAGTCAGCAGACAAGCAGTGTGCAGCTACAGGGGCAACTGGGACTTGTTATTTTCTTCATGGTTGTTTTGATGGGTGTCCTTTTGTGTCTTCAGGTTTTCTACTGTCCCTAAAAAGCTGCAGCCCTTCAGCTAGTCTCGCCTCTGTCAGTCGTCACTGCTTTCTTCTTTGAGCATGATATTTTCAGTCAACCCTTATCATGCTCTTTGGTCGAATTGTTATTTTGTTGTTTAATTTTTACTATAAGACATTATCCTGCCTGCTCCCATCCTGTATTTGGATCCTCACATTACAATAAACATGGCAGCAGCGTCGTATATCTCTGTGCCACATCCAGCAGATGAAAATTTTGAAAACTCCAAACTTTCTCTGGGCTCGGAGTATTGGGACTTCAATAGCACAACAACCAATATTTAATTTAACGTAAATTAAATATTGATTTAATTTGTATTATGCACATGAAAATATGTAGCCTGGTAAAAACCAGAGCCTTGTGCTACACTTTGCTTCTTCCAGAAGGTCTGGGATCTCGGCAGTTGAGAAACGATTTCTTCCTGGATGCGTGGAAGAAATCCAGGAAATCCTTCAAATTGAAATTTGACCCAATTGATAGCATTTGCCTTTTACGTATGTAATGCTCCAATTTAACACTAAGAAACTAACCGGAAATTGCCTGCTCTGTAAACAACCATCCTCCACTGACAAGAGAGGAGTGCCGATCCGAATGAGGCGTCTGTTTATGTTAATTCAGTATGTGGAAGCATGACCAACGTAGATTGAATGGCTTCGTTCACTTCCTCCGCTGCCAGACCTAAAACTGCTGGCAGGCTACAATTCTAAAGCAGCTCAGAAAATCAACGTCAATGTGCACAACTTCTCCTTCTGCTTGCTGACTGGTCCAGTAGAAAAAGCTACCAAACACAATCTAAGTCAAGTGAAGAAAGCCCAGAATGTGTTGGAAGTGAGAATGGTTTCTGAGTGAAATTACACAAGGAGATTATGGCCAGGCTAGGAAATATGTAATATTACAACAAATACTGGCCAAAACAGGTCTACATAATGGAGGAAGTGCAGGACGGATATCAGACTGTTTTATTTGTGTGCAGTTATTGATGGGTCAATAACTGACCAATGCAGAGTTGCCACACACACACACACACACACACACACACACACACACACAACAGACTAATGTCCTTTTTCTCAATGTCCAAATCCTCTTGTTAATGTAAAACTTGCAAATTATTTGCAAAGCTTTTGTGTTTTTGTTATATTTGGTTCTTGCTGACCCTGTCAACATCCAAAACATCTTGTTCACCACAGAAACAGCAAACTGCTGAAAAGAAAAGAACTTCACACAGCATGGATGCTCTTGTGAAAAATTGGAGCGTACCTAACACCATGCTGACCTCAATGTGAGCCCCTTTAC